CCCAGCTGCGCTGGTACAGTGGCGGAGGAGGCCGGGGCCCAGCAACAGCAGGTAAGTGGAGCTCCATGTGCAGGGAAGGGGGCCCCTGACCAGCCCACCTGAGAGTGACCCTGTACACCCCACCAGGGTCTGTGCAGGGTCACTCTCAGGTGGACTGTGTGGGATCTCAGGTGGGCTCTGCAGGGCCTCAGGTGGGTCCTGTGGGGGCTCAGGGGGGTCTTGAGCTCAGTGCATTACTAAGTCCAAAGTCCAGTGCGTTACTAAGTCCAGAGTCCAGTGCATTACAAAGCCATGAGTCCAGTGTGTTACTAAATTTGTAGTTCCCCATACAGCCGGTGCCATTCTGCATTAAAGTGTAAACTTCTCTTTACAGAAACTAATGTGACTGGCTCAGTATTCTCTGTACAGCACTGTGGTATATGTCAGAGCTAGATAAATGTATAATAATAGTGTGAGACTGTGTGGGGACATTAGAGTGTAAGCTCCTCTGGTCCAGAGCCTGCCGGGAGGGGTTAGTGGCTGAAAATAAAATCTTGGGAGGGGGGTCCAAGGTAAAATATTGCACTAGGGCCCTTTGTTCCTTAGGTCCACCACTGCCTCTATTCACAAAATACCCCAAACTTTAAAAAAGTTCTGAGTACTTACATTTCTAGTGGAAGCTTGGGTAATTTTGTAAATTTTATGACCTTAATGTTGTGCCCATGTCCTGTTTCAGAAGATCAACATTCCCAGCCACACTATGGCCAAGAAGTAATCCATTCCCAGCTTATTATGCAGAAAGAAAAAATTGTAAAATAATTTGGAATAGACCAAAGGAGTTGGTTCTAGACCAGGGGTAGCCAACCAGTGGTCCTCCAGCTGTGGTGAAACTACAAATCGCATGATGCATCTCCACCGGGAGTCATGTCTGTGGCTGTGAGCATGTTGCAATGTGCCATGGGATTTGTAGTTCCACCACAGCTGGAGGCTCACTGGTTGGCTACCCCTGTTCTAGACAACTCATGAGATTGATTAAAAAATGGGCTAGATGTGTTTACAAATGCACAAAATATGACTGGGTATTAACATTTGAAAGATATAATACTGTAGATTTTTGATTCAGGGAATATTTGATTGTCTTTGGGTATCTGGAAGGAATTTTTATTCTTGGCCACTCTTAACAAGAGTATTTTACACCCTGTTGGAGTAGGGAGGATGCAAGCTTTTAAATTTATGTTTGTATTTAGGTTGAACTTAATGAACATGTCTGTTTTTAACCTGAATACCTATGCAACTATGCCAGCCACAACATTTTGCATTAGAATAAGTTGAAATTAAAATTTTACCTGTTTATGCATCGATTGCATCGATATTTATACACAGTATATGCATTATAAGCATTAACATCTTGTTGTTCCATTTTAGTTATTTAAAAATTGGTGGCCAGGAAGTCTGAACCTTTTTCCCTGATGGGTAATGTGCCAACAGCAGTAAAGCACTGCCTAAGTTACCAACATCTCCTAAAGGAACAGATATGGATTGGAGATGTAACCATACCCGAACAGGTATTAAAATTGTATTATATTTGTTTGTGATTTTGAATATATGCCTTAAAATTGCCCATGATAAATGACTCTGATATAAATATGTGTTGTTCTTAAAGCACATCTCCAGGCTCCTGCCTCCTCACACCAGTTTGCAGTAAGGCATTTGTTGTAAAGTATTTTTAAGTGAGCAAATAAGGTTCGTCTGAACTGATTCTAATACACATTTTCTTATGATTGGCTATATGTATATATTAATATATATATATTGTTTTCAATTATGCCAAATTGTTTATTCTTTATTGCAAAGAATGATAGGTTGCTGCTGACTACAAGATAGTATTCCTCATTTAGTGCAATATTATTTGTATTTGTAGGCTATAGCAAAACATTTGCCATGAATCTTTGTTTGAATATACCGTATACTTGTGCCATATATTGTATATTGAGTTTATATCAAATTATCCATCTGCATTCCTTATAAAATGTGTTATAATTTCATATATTCATTTATTTATTTATTTTTTACTTACTTGACATAGTATGCTGCACATACTGTAATATGAATCTAAATTTTACTACTCATAACATTAACATACTATGAATATACTAAATACTACAACTGTCAGATGTACAAAGATAAAATAAATCAGTTCTCCTCGGTCCAGGTGATCATTCTCACCGAATAAGAATGTTATAAAAAAATGAAATTTTACAGTTGTCACTGGAACAGGAATAGAGAGGATTTTTTTTCCAGTGGGAGCACTGTTCTGTAATCCATGTGTCAACTGTCTAAGAAGTTTAAAAAAGAGAAAAAGAGATGATCTTTTACTTCTTGTTGTGTGTCTGAAAAGAGAACTGCCAAAATCATCTCGATGGTATACAGTTTACAAAAAAGGGCATTACTCATTACCTACTATATTGAAAAAAAATTTTTTTCAGAGGACAGATAAGGTATATATTTATATCACATATGTTTGCCTAACACCTCACTTAGAATGAATAAAATATAAAAAGAAGGAAAAAACTTAAAGAAAACACTGTTTCCCCAGTTTGATTATATTTTTTTAGAAAAATAGCACAGCTACAAATATGCATTAAAATTAATTTATTTATTTGTCCTTTATTAGGAAACACTACAACAGCAAAAAGTATCCTAGTACACTCACCAGCCAGCATGCAAAAAAACCCTGTCTAACCACTAAGGTTAAAAACAGAGGTTTTAGATACATGTCTTCTGCACTGTGCCACACTGCCTCATCAAGGCTCCTCTGTGTAGTGCAGTCCCAGCTCTAACCTATCAGAGTCTCCATCTTGGAGCACATGTAGCAAAAGATAAAATTGGGTGCAGGTTCGCCAGGAGGAAGCCCAACCCCCTTAAAGGCACAGGGACACACAAGGGACCCCGCACATCACAACGGCAGCTGAGACCCCCAGTGTGTCACTGCACCAAATTAGTCAAGCAAAACAAATGGCAAACGCACTCATCAACTCATAACCAGCTTTCAAGCAAGGTGCACATGGAAGGGCTTTATACAGTGCAACAGCAAAAAGTTTCCCAGAACACTCAACAGCCAGCATGCAAAAAAACTGTCTAACCACTAAGGTTAAAAACAGAGGTTTTAGATACACGTCTTCTGGAAAATATGTGAAAGTAGCACTGCCTTGTCAAGGTTCCTCTGTGTAGTGCGGTCCTAACTCTAACCTATGAGAGAACTCCCGCCGGATAATGGCATTATGACAGATGCTGGCAAAACATAAACAATTGGGTGGAGCTAGTGGTTACAGCTAACTCCGCCCAACTGTGTAGTTTTACGTCATCTGTAACTGAGCCATGATTGGGCAAAGTCATCATAACTATAATCATGGCTCTTACAGAGTATTGTGGTCAGGTGCAAGCCTTCAGCCAATTAGGGCTTCACAAGGCTCATTGTAATGTGGGGCGTTCAGCGGTCGAACAGAACGTCGAACACCCTTATAGTTTGTGTGTTTTGCAAACACATTAACTAGCGATGTTTGAGTCATACTCATGTTCGACTCGAACAGCCAGCCCAACACTAATTCTCAGTGATTACTGGCATTACAGATCTTCAATTTACTGCTCTTGTACAGTTTACATGAGCAGTCATTTGGGCACTTAGTGGCAGGGAAGTACAGTACATGTCTCCCGTCATGAAGGGGTAAACCTTAGAGTATAGGAAAGTGCAGAGTGAGCTACTATTGGTGCTGTACTACCAGGGAATATAGGAACCATCTTTAGCTGTACCTTCCAATTGTTCTGTTTTTTTTACCTGAACTGAATATTTTATGCTTTTGCATCAGTGTAGCCCTGATAAAATAATTACTTTTGTTGCTCTCACAAATGTTTGTATAGTAAGTATTTGACTAAGGTATGACAGATATGTTAAAGTGGACCTTTACCCTTTTCACTAAAAATCACATGAAATCACCTTACATTAGCTAAACAAATATATTGTTATTCTACTTACAATTTTATTTTTCCACTTCCTGGTCCAATTTGGCACAAATGATGTAATCGTGCCCAAGCATTGCATCCTGGGAAGGTTAAATCAGCAGTGCATTGCTGGGAAATCTCATCTGTAATCTCATGAGATCTCAGGGAAAGGCATTTTCCTCCCCTGAGATGATGTGCATGGTAACATGTCCTAGTTACATGTGCCAGAGTTCCAGGAAGTAAATGAGATCTAGTAACCTGCCCTTAGTAAACATGGCCACTGTCAGAAGACTGGGGAAGAAAAGAAAAATAAAGTATGCAAAAAATAAAAAGCCAGCCATTATCTAGAAGTATGTGTTTGTAGATTGTCATTACTAAACATTTCTAAAGGTGCCTTTGTTGTTATTTTGAAGACATCTTAATGCAATATGTTCACTTACTTTTTTCAAAAAGATCATATAGATATTTGTTGTTCTTAAGGAGCCCCATGTAGCAGGCCTTCCTCAACATGTCAAGATAGTAGAAGTTGGACCAAGAGATGGATTACAAAATGAAAAGGTAAAACACTACAAAGATGAGATGAGTGTGTTGAATCAAAAACAGAGGTTCTGAAAACTTTTTTAATCTGAGGATCAAAATAAAGAAAATTGTTACCATACTGGGAAGAAAGATGAGAATTTATACAAAGTTGAGTAACAATGGCCAAATAATAAAGAAAACAAACACCCAATCAGTAAACATACGTATGTGTTTTGTCTTCAAGTGTAGTTCTTATTTTTTCTAATTTGTGAAGCAGTAAAGTGAAAAGCTAAAATATTGGTAATAAAAAATAATTATAATAAAAAAAAACATTCCTGAGGGAGTGTCATTCAAATAGGATCATGACAGACCTGGAAACTCCTGGCCACCCTCAAGAAAAACAATGCAAGTTATGCTATGCTTGGATTATAGGCATTCATGTGTACTGTCCTCCTGAAACTTATCGAGCTTATCATACACTGTTGTTCAATGAGTATGGTATGGTACTTATTTGCCATGTGTGCAGAATATCCAAATAATATTGACGTTTGCCTCCTGTTCTCAGAAGCTGAAGTGGAAAAAGGCAGCTTATGTTTGGGAATTTATCACTGAGATGTCTATTTTAAACACCAGCATATGCAATTTTGTACAACGGCTATGCTTGAACTTCTGCACATGCTCACAAAGATCTGCATGTGCACATCTAAGGACTCATAATCTGCAACATATAAACATTTTTTGTTTAGATGCACATAAAGTGTAGATTCCTTAGCAAACCGTACTTCTTAGTAAATTGTGCATATAAGGTATATGCTCTATAGCCTGTGCATGTGAGTTCACATACATTGCAGGTGCATAGTTAATTCTGTAATATTCACTTATAATTGATGTGCGATTGTATGCCCATAATTTTTTAGGTTTTTATTTGCTCAACTCAAATGCTGACAAAGCACACTTGCCCTTCTTCATTACTTATATGTATTAGGGATGTCACGATACCACTTTTTCAGGCCCAAGTAGAAGTACAAGTACTTCCCCTCATGTACTTGCCGATACCAATTACCGATACTCTTTCTTAAAGGGACAAGTGTCTTTTTTAAAAACAATACAGACTAATGATTTTAGGCTAATTTCTTTATGATTATGGAGAACTTTAATTTAAGATTGTTTTAGAACAATAAAACATTTGTATTTGCTTTCACACAGTTGTCATGAAACTACAAATCTGATCATGCATCTGCCTCTGGGATCATTTAACCTATTCATGTTAGCAGGGGAGAATTGTAACTCTATTACTGCAGTGTACTGGAAGTGTGTGCTATGGATCATTTAACCTGGTACACACTTCCAGTACACTGCAGTAATAGAGTTACAATTCTGCCCTGCTAACATGAATAGGTTAAATGATCCATAGTACAACTACATGTTATGTACTATGGATCATGATTTAACCTTGCTGGTGAGGTCGTAGTCGGCGCTGTGCGGGAGAGCAGCGACGAGTCAAGCTGGTCCGGTGCGAGGAGCTCCAGGTGGGGTCCTAATTTAGCTGACCGGCAACTGCCCAGAGGTGCCGCGTTTGTCTGGGTCCTCTGGGCAGTCGCCAGCCAGCTAAATTAGGACCCCACCTGGAGCTCCTCCCAGCGGACCAGCTTGACTCGCCCCTGCTCTGTAACGCTTAGTAATTCAATTTTCAGTATCAGTAACTTACACTTTAGAAATGCAACTCAGCTGCGGATAACGGGCTAACATCAGGATCTGACTGATTTGCTTTAAATGCCCCAGTCTGTAGGTTACACAGGGAAAGTAATGGGATCACTATTTTATCTGTATTTCTTTATACAGGTAATGTCACAACAAAAAAAACAACAAAAAAGTAAATGCCTGTCTACCTGTCTATGCAAAGTAACATTAGAGAAGAGTTCATAGGAATGCAAGTGTCACGGATACTTGCGGTTGGTTATTTTGCCAGATTTAGGGTACCCTCCGAGGTTTGACTGAGAGTCCTGGAACTCAAGAGGATCCTATGTGATCACTGGCAAGCATCTACTGGTACTCTTTACTGGTAGAAGTACTTGTCAAAATGCCCTGTATCGGTCCCGATAGCGATGCTAGTACCTGTATCGGGACATCCCTAATATGTATCTCAGCTTCCAGCACTGGGCAAAGCTTTGCTGAATGATTCCTCAGTTTATCTGTTATGCTTTGATGATTTGTGAGGTTTAAACATGTTTGGAGAACCTATTTATATATATATATATAGTGGTATTATGTGGCAATCCCACAGTAGAATTTGGGGTTGTAGTCACCCAGGACTCTCAGAGGGGCAAAGTTCTTTTACTGGGAATGAGCTGACAGTTCTTCACAGGTTTTGTAGATTTGGCGTGAGATCCTGGAACTGGAAATTTCGAAGAGAATTGGGTGGGACGAGATCTCCAGTCCTGGGTCCGTGGTTTAGTAGTGGCCAGCACCTAATGATTGCACACCTGTGTGTGAGCAAATTGGCTTGATCGCAATGGAAACGCGAGACAAAAACGCCGCAAAGAAGCTCATGTACCTTTTCAGGCAAAGGCCGTTTTGTAGCGCATTCAGACGGGCTGAAATACGGCATGGTGTGAACCATACCCATAGAAAACAATGGGATTTTCATGTTTGAGCATTTTGTAGAGCGTTTGTAGAGCGTTGAACGCGCTACAAAACGTACAGGTGTGAACCAGGCCTTAGAGAAAGGGTGCTGGCTAATGTTCAGGGCTCCAGCTAGGAAAAGGAACAGAGGTGTTCAGGAGTCAGGCGGACTCCTCCCAGAAGTCAGAGGGGAGCTAGGTGGCTGTGTGTGCTGGAGGCACCTTGGAGACAGCCGAGGAGACTTAGAGAGCCAGTGACACATGAGGGATGTGTTTAAGAGTCACACGAAAGGTGGATTGTGGAAACCCTAATGTCCAGGCACTGGGGAGTATGTGTGACAACCTGGAGTCAGTGAGGCTATGGGGGTGATTTACTAACCTAAACACACACACACACACCAGGTGTGTGTGATTTTCACACAGCAAAACGTATTTATCAACCAAAAAGTCTCTAAAAGCATATTTCCACTAATGCCATATATGGAAAAATCATGCACATGATGCATATATAATGCTGCTTCACAGTTTAGACAAAAATGGTTAGCTCATGCATTTACATTCCTTGCATTCATCAACGCAAGCAACACAACATAGAGCTAATTTACCCAACATCACCTTGGAATTCATTCAGGGCTTTGCACAACACACCTGCTGGGTGTGTACACATTACAAAGGTGTTTAGATTCCACCCATAGATCATGCTGGGAGGGAACACACTGCAGAGGTGTATACACGTTTGTGGTGTGTTTATAAGGTTAGTAAATCAACCCCTATGTGTTCTGTTTGCTGGAATACAAGCAGACCTTGTATTATTGTTGAAGTTATGTTTCTGTTCTGGAAGCAATAAAATACTGTTTTGTTTTATGCTTTAAGTTTTATGTTTTAAGAGACTGGTCTTTTATGGCTTCGAGACTGGTCTTTGAGCGCTCACCATGTGTGCTAAGTTCCCCAAACATCACAATATATACTTACTGTTTACCTATATAAGTAATGCATGTGTATTATTTTTCCTATAGGAATTTGTACCTACCAATATAAAAATTGATTTTATCAACCGCCTTTCAGAATCAGGGCTGCCTGTTATAGAAGTCACCAGTTTTGTATCTTCAAAATGGGTACCACAGGTAAGATGTTTATAACTCTTATATACAGTTGCTAGTTCATGTATATTATTTATTGATAGAGACTGAGGATAGAGAGAGAACTATATGAGGTTGATGTGCTAAAGAATAGAAAGTATTTACTTTGAAAAATAAATGTTAATTTAACTTGATGTATAAGGTGACATTTTGAATACTTCAATCATCCAATCACATGCAAGAAAAAAAATCATGTTTTCTTAATCACCCTGATGCATAACTGAATACTCAAACTGAAGATAGATTTACCATTTTTACAAGGGGAAGTGAAAATTCAGTTTGCAAAGTGAACACTAATTTATCAAAGTAAATATTCTGTACAATTATCATAAACGCAGAGGGGTCCCAACAAAGGGATCAGAGTGGCAAATTTGTAAATCAAATTCTCAGTGTGCGACAGCACTCCAATTATAATGCACAGATGCACACAATGTTAATAAAACAATGATACATTCATTAATATCCATAAACATTTTATTATTATAAAAATATACCATACCATACACCTCTATAAAAAAAATTCTTGACCCTGCAAGATGCCTTACATCCTGTACACATTTATTAAAGTCAAGGGGTTTTTAAGCTATTTCAAATGCTGATCAAATCACATCCAATGGGTGTTGCTCCTTGATGTGTAAAAGGTTTAGCTTTCTGCAGAATCAGCTCATACATTCAGCACTGGCCCTGATATCCCATTTTAGGGTGCCTCCTTTCCCTTGCGGGGTTCAATAAAGCCACCCTTATGCATTTGGCATAAGGGTGTGGCAATAGGTTGTGTGTTTCTCCACAAATACACAGACACCACAAGGCAACAAACTCCCCGGCTCCCCAATAGTTTATCTTCCATTCTCTAAGCTAGTAGATGGACTTCTGCTGGAGACTATACTCTTCCTTGTGATCTTGTACTCGACAGGAAGTTCAAGGAAGTGGAGCTGAGAGAGATGGAGCCAGCTGTTTGGAAGCATGATCACTTTAAGTGCTTGGACAAAACTTTAAAGAAATACCTCTGGATCTTTTATTGGAAAAAAGTTTGAGACTTTAATACTATAATTTGTTTAGTGTTGTGAGCCATCCTTTACCTCAAAGCAGCTAGTATAAACAGGGTCTATGCCTCATACAACCCTTACTTTACAAATGCTGTTCGGCTATTCACTTCAGGCTTGTACGACTGATTTCAGCCGTACACCGACTGAAATCAGCCGTACGGCTGGGTTCGGGTCGACTGAACATGCTCAGCATGTTCGGCCGACCCGAAGTGCAGAAGGAGTTCGACTCAGCTGATCCAACATCTGGATCGGCTGAGCCGAACATCCTGCAGGCTACTCGCTGCTGTTCGGACTATTCTCATAGAGGCCGAACATCAGTAATTGAATAGCCGAATGCCGCCGAGCGACATGAGCCTGAGCCGAATATCACCTCTGTGGTACCGAGCAGAATAGAAAAACTGTAAAAAAAAAGTAGAAAATGATTGGGTGGAGCTAACAGTGACAGCTAGTTCCGCCCAACTATTTTCTATTGGCCGGGACCAGCTGTCATTACAATAAGACTTGCCGGAGCCGGCGGTGATATCAAAGCTGGCTCCGCTAAGCTCTTATCGTAATGACAGATCAGATCAGTAAATTTAGGTAAAACATCCCGCTGCATCACAAGAAATCAATAGTGAGTTTATGACTTTAGTAAAACATGCCCAAAGGGTAGAAGCTGAGATGGTCACCAGGAGAGGCCGGGACGTTCATTCATAGCAGAGGATAGGGTTTTCATTCACAGAAGGGGCTAAGCCATTCATAATAGCACAGTGTGGGATGTTAGTTCATGGTAGAGGCTGGAACATTTAACAAGAGAGGCTGGGGCAATCGCTTGGAGAGGCTGAGGCATTCATTTAAAGTAGACTCTGTTCTGTCATTATGATGAGAGCTTAGCAGAGCCGGCTTTGATATCACTGCTGGCTCCGACAAGCTCTCATGACAGTTCAGCATCCCCTCGTCACTAGGTAACCAGGCAGGGGCGTAGATAAGGTGGGGGGAATAGGGGGGTTCAAACCCCCCCCCCCCCAGAGTGTCCTGGCAGTGGCTAGCGAGGGGAGGGCAGAGGGGGGCACGTACTCCTGGCCGTTTAACAGCGTTCTGAAGAACCCAGCTAAAGGGATTCCGGGGATGTCCTGTTTGATAAAACATCCGTGAAGGCTGGAGCAAATGCCATGTTTTATCAAACAGGACATCCCCGCATCCCTTCAGATGTGCCTGTTCCTGCCTGGCCCTGAATGATATGTACATGTCGGGCCCTACAGGAGACAGGGTGTCCTTCCAGTGATCAGGGCAATCAGGTATGGAGGTGGGGGGGATGGCGGGGACAAGTTAAAGGGGTTCTAAACCCTCCGTAGCAAGCAGTAGATATAGGCAAGAAGTGTAAAAAAAAAAAAACGCTTGAAATCATTTTAAACTTACCTCGTTATCGCCGAGAATCAGGAACTGCTCGTACGGCCGCAAAGGATCCTGGGGCGGGCGCATGCGCAGTTCTGATTCTTGGCCGGGAGACGTGCAGAGACGCAAGGTAAGTCTATGGACGCGTGCACCCGCCTGCAGACACCGCTGGATCGGAGGGACAGAGCAGTCAGCGCTGGATCGGAGAGACGCCGCACCGCTGGAGGGACAGATGAAAACATGGGGAAAGAAGAGGAACACCAGAATAAGAGACATCATTTAAGGTAAGTGCTAAAATTAACATGGGGGGGAGGGAAAACAAAATTTGCCTTTAATATGACTTTAATGTGACATTAAAGTAAACAAAAATGTTTCCCTCCCCCAATGTTAATTAAAGCACTTACCTTAAATTATGCCTCTTAATCCGATCTTCTTCTTTCCTGATGTTTTCATCTGTCCCTCCAGCGGTGCGGCGGGACTCCGTCCAGCGCTGACTCCTCTGAGCTTGCTGGTACTTACTGTCCCACGGTGTCTGCATGCGGGTGCACGCGTCCATAGACTTACCTTGCGTCTCTCCTCGTCTCCCGGCCAAAAATCCGAACTGCGCATGCGCCTTCCACAGGATGCTTTGCGGCCGCCCGAGCAGGTTCGGATGGGAGCGTGCGGGGAAGACACAGGTAAGGTTAAACCGCTTTGAAAGTGCAAAGCACAACATGAGACCCCACCAGGCCACCCGAGACCCTGCACAGCCCACCCGAGACACTGCACAGCCCACCCAAGACCCTGCACAGCCCAACCGAAACCCAGCACAGCCCACCCGAGACTCCGCACAGCCCACCTAAAACTTTGCACAGCCCACCCAAGACCCTGCACAGCCCAACCGAAACCCAGCACAGCCCACCCGAGACTCCACACAGCCCACCCGAGACCCACCAGGCCACCCGAGACCCTGCACAGCCCACCCGAGACACTGCACAGCCCACCCAAGACCCTGCACAGCCCAACCGAAACCCAGCACAGCCCACCCGAGACTCCACACAGCCCACAGCCCTGTAACACTGAACTGTCATTACACGGCAGTGTAATGATCACGGCGGCTCCGCCGGGTTCTCAGTGTAATGACAGATCAGCGTCCCTGGTTACCTGGTAACCAGGGGACACTAATCTGTCTCTGCATGCAAGTGGAAGGAGCCAGCCGTGAGATAACGGCTGGTTCCGCCTAGCTATTAGTAGCAGGCTGTCGGCCCGCCAGCTTCGGCTTTTACCTCGGCTCAGTCGAGCCGAAGCATATGCCTTCGGCTCGACTGGACTGCTCGGCCAACTTCGGTAGCTGTACGGGCTATAGTGAATAGCCCGTACAGCAGCCCTTCGGTTCTACTGAACCGAAGGGGTCCTGGGTCTGAAGCTAGCCAAAGGATCAGCCGAAGCTACGGCTAGATCCTTCGGCAGCTTTGTGAATAGACCCCTATATATTACAAAACAGCCACAATCAACCATATTCAAGAATTAATCAAGTAGAGCTAAGATAATCCTGCTTAGATGCACTTACAAATTAGAGCTCTTTGTATTGAAAAATAACAAATGTGATTGAAATTGTCCTTGGAGAACCTCTGTAATGGGAAAATCATAAGATTTCCGTTAACTTGTTATCCTGTTGACTGCCTCACAAATCTTACTTACCTCAGAAGTGACATTCCCTTTCTTTACACTACTGGTTGTGCTTTATAATGCATTATGCTGAAAATAATAATTACATATGTTATTTATCTTAGCTGAATGGAAGAGTTCTGATCTTGGCACAGGGATTAACCAGGCAGCAGAGAAACTTTTCAGTATTTGGCTTTAAAGCTGTGGAGAAAGGCTTTCTTAGGAAAGTGATTGATCTTACACATATATGTTGCTCTATAGTTCATAAAAAGATGTTAGTGATCACACTGTTGCCTACAAACCCTTTTCAAAAACACTATAACATGATCACCAGCTCATCTTTTCTTTTGTTTGCATGTAACACTGAAACAGCTTTGAGGCTGAACCTGAAGCAAGCAGTAGTCAGACATTTATCTGCAATAGAGGCAGTATTGATGTGACTTTAAGCCGGATGGAAGACACTAATATTGTGATTGCAAAGACAGATTGCCTCTAGCAAGATATTAAGTGTATCCCATAGATCTTAAGAATAGTTAATGATCACCTGCTCCAATTTCTTTCCTATGTATGTGTATTGACTGACACACAAAGGAAATAAAAGTGAACTACATCACTACACTAAATATATTGTTTGAATTCACTTAATGATAAGAAAGCACCAGCAAAATGTTTCAGTAAACAAAAAGCATTCTGGCAAGCAAAAAAGAAAATACAATTCGAATAGATAAAACATTGGAGTTGGCAAGGTTGCAGACTTAATTGTTTGTACAATAAGCCTTTATATTGATTTCAATCAGAGATCTAGGGTCACTGAACACCTCGCTGGAGGCAAAGTGGAAGCTTAAACTGGAGGTTAAGGAAACAATAGTCCCCAACTCAGATAACACAATACCTTGAAAGGAAAAAAAATAACTGTAGGTGGTAGTGAGTAGAGTGTAGTATTGTCTTCTGTGTTGTTAAATTATCTGTTTTCATTTATAAAAAAGCTAACTATATTTACAGACAGCATAGTATATGCAGCACTTAGGCAAATTCTGCTTCTCTGTGGTACCTCTAGAAAACATGAACAAAAGAAAAAAGAGAGGCAGAAGAAGATGGGAGAGACCCTCGTTGTATAGTATATACAATTCCATTTGGATTGATGAGGTTTTAGAGAAAACATAATGGTAAATTGAAGGAGAACAAAGATATATCTGTATCCTTGATGAGACTTTGAGTTGCACTTTATGGTGGGGGACATCCAGGACCTTGGCCCTCTGGGTGGTTTGTTGCTGGTGTGATACTAGTAGTGGCAGAGCATATTATCAACAAACCTGTTGCATAGGCGCCCGTAACAAAGTTGTTTCCTGGAAAATGGGAGAAAAGATGCAATTTCAAAGATAAAGATAATTTGTAAACACACTATGTGCAATATGGTGACATCCAGCCACTTCATCAAGAAAGTTATCTCACAATTCTGAATGAAGAAAAAAACAAGCATTAACCATTTAAAAGCTGCTTGTTAAAGGTGCATGTATCCTTTAGGATTAAGTTTTGCCTGAATGGTTAATAATATTATGTCATAACGATTTTTTTTGGCTAGAGAAGCTGGAAACAGAAGCAATGTGACGTTCAATACTATGTGAATAGGAAACCATATGCTTACTAACCACCATGAACAAGTCATAAAGGTACCTAGGAAAAGACTATACTCCTGGGGAAAAAGGAAGAAAGAATTGTTTCCAGAGAATGAAAGTAGTTCCAAATGTTTGGAAAATTAAGCAGTAATGTGGGCCAGTGAAAACTGAAATATACATTTAGATTGTGTTACAGATAAAAATGTTTATATAGTCTTGAAAACATCAAGTGATATCTGGATGTTCCCTGACTTCTAGAATGATTTAGTGACATTTCAAGCTACAGATCAATATTTTGTGATCTTTGTAATTCAGCTATGATCTCTTATTACCTATAGAACCTTTACTGAGCTCAAAAGTGTTCATATTAACAAATACACAAGGGATCTATTTATTTCCTGGTTAAAAACTGTACACAGCCTGGTGAGATCTGTACACAGCCTGGTGAGACCTGTATGCAACCTGGTGAGATCTGTATTCCACTCTGGTGAGATTTGTACACAGCCTGGTGAGATCTGTATGCAGCTCTGGTGAGATCTGTACACAGCCTGGTGAGATCTATACACAGCCTGGTGAGATCTTTATGCAGCTATGGTGAGATCTGTACACAGCCTGTTGAGATCTGTATTCAATTCTGGTGAGATCTATACACAGCGTGGTGAGATCTGTATGCAGCCTGCTGAGATCTGTATTCAGCTCTGGTGAGATATGTATGCAGCCCTGGTGACATCTGTATCCAGCTCTGGTGAGATCTGTATTCAGCTCTGGTGAGATATGTTTGCAGCCCTGGTGACATCTGTATCTAGCTCTGGTGAGACCTATACACAGCCTGGTTAGATCTGTACGCAGCCTGGTGAGATCTATAGTCAGCTCTGGTGAGATCTGTATTCACCACTGGTGAGATTGTACGCAGCCTGGTGAGATCTGAATGCAGCTCTGGCGATATCTATATATTCAGCTCTGGTGAGATCTGTACACAGCCCAGGTGAGATCTGTACACAATACTGGTGAGATCCATACGCAGCCCTGGTGAGATCTGTACGCAGCCCTGGTGAGATTTGAACGCAGCCCTGGTGAGATTTGAACGCAGCCCTGGTGAGATTTGTACGCAGCCCTGGTGAGATTTGTACGCAGCCCTGGTAAGATCTGTATGCAGCCCTGGTAAGATCTGTATGCAGCCCTGGTGAGATCTGTACACAGCCTGGTAAGATCTATATTCAGCTCTGGTGAGATCTGTATGCAGCCTGATTAGATACTGTATGTACACAGCCCTGGTGAGAAACTGCTATAAAAGCATTAGTCTGTATTGTTTTAGAAAAAGTGTCACATGTCCCTTTAAGAAAAAGTATCAGTAATTGGTATCAGCAAGTACCTGAGGGAAAGTACTCGTTGGTCTTGAAAAAATTGTATCGGGACATCCCTAATAGTTAGGGTACTTGAGTGGATTTTTAAGACTTAACTCCAGAGTTTAGTGTCACTTTAAGGTAAGAGAAGTCAAAAGCAGAAGCATCACATACTTTAGAATGGTAAACTAAATGGTACATTTTAAACAATAGATTTTAGTCAGTTTTAGCTGTGTCTGTAAGATCTCTTCACATTTTTTACCAGCTTTGGGAAAACTAGGGCTCCAAAACACTTGAGACCTGATCTATTTAATGGAAAAGAATATTTTCTAATCTCTCCCTGTATGATTTAAAAAAAATTTGCGAATATTATAATTGACTCCATACCTTGTACATGTCATTGAGAAACAGGTCACCGTCCAATCAGAGAGTTATATGCTTTGCCTATATCCATTCTACTAACCATTTTTTTCACAACTAAGCACTGAATGAGGATATGTGAAATATTTTATTTTAAATAATAAAATACATAAATACAATCTACTCAAGGAAATTAAATAATATAAGGAATACTGGTTTTTAGCTTTTCACTCTGTGCTAAATTAATTGAGATAATAAATCGCCTAATGTAATACATTAAAGCTCTTGTTTCAGATGTCAGATCATACAGATGTCATGAGAGGTATAAAAAAACTTCCTGGAGTACAGTACCCAGTTCTTACACCTAATATACAAGGATTTCATTCTGCGGTATGTATTATATAATTTGTATTAATTTATACTTGTTTTTGCCCACAACCTGCAGCAACAAATACAATAAAGTTATTTTTGTAAATATGGGTCTCTTACTTTTGCCAGTTAGTGACACATATTTCAGTATAACATGCTGTAAACTTTCCCTTTCTCTCTCCAAGAAGGTGTGCCTTCCTGTTACACCTCCCTTTTACCCTGACTAGAGTTCTCAGTTTGTTAGGAACATGTCAAATGCCATAATCCTATCCCTGTCACAACCACTCAGCTCCATCTGGCGGTTGTCTCTTGTAACTGCACCTACCACAGTCTAGTCAGCTGTAAGCTGATCAGGCTAATCAGCCTGGCTACATGCCCCTCACAGCCTGGGCTTGGTTAGTTGTGTTCTATTTAAGCATCACAAGCCCAGGGTTCTGGGCTTGTGATAGCTCCAGTCTAGCCTTGTCTAGTTCTGTCCACACAAGCCTGTATGCTGATCTTGAAATTTAGTCTTGCCTTGATCTTTAATCTTGTTTCTTGTATCCTGTATTTATCTTGTATTAGTTGCTGTCTTGTATTTATTTCCTGTTCTTGTCTTGTGTCTTGCTTTCTGTTTTTCTTGTACCGTGACATCAGTCAGTACTTCTCCTTGTTCCTGGGGGGCAGCCTGTGGCATCACCTGTTTAGAGCATATAGTTCAAGTACTGGTAGGCATGCATGCCTTTAGGGCTGCAACAACTAATCGACATAATCGATTATAATCGATTATTGAAAAAGTTGTCGACTTTTTCAATAATCGATTAATCGGCTTCCGATCAGTTGGCCCTGTTCACAGCTCCACGCGCTGTGCGCCGCTCCTCCTCCCCACCTCACGCTCGCTGCTGCAAGACCCGCTCGCATCCACGCTCCATTATGGGAATGGTGGCTGCTATAGCTGAAACAACTTATCACTATTTGCTCTGACAGCGTGCGCCCACAGCTGGTCCTGACAAGGTTAAGCACTTGAAGTGGAGTTTAACTTTTTAAGGGGTTAGCCCAGGTAATACAAATGATTCCATTTTGCACTTATGATGATAGGTTTAACCACCCTTCAACTTCTGGCATCGTCCTTCCACCTGATGTAGCAGTTGGGATTTGCTCTCAATTTTTGGATTTTTAATTAATTGTATATTGCACAAAGTAAGATAGGATGCTCATAAATTCTGATGAGTGAATCTGCTTCGCTTCTCATATTTTGTGGAGACTGGTGAGAACTTGTTGCCATAATTCATGACCTTTTTCACACCCACATCACTCCTACTCCTACAAAATGAATGTCTCCAGATATTTCCACTCCTCTTATTACCTTCCTGAAACATATCATACCACAACATATATTAACAATCAACTTAGAGAGGGACCATTTCTGTAAACATTACAGCAGGTGAGTAGACCTGGGAAAACAGAGTTTGAGACTTTAGAAACTTTTAAGGAATGTATCAAAAATCGACCAAATTCTGAAGTATTAGTGTAGAATGGGCTGACCCTTTAATGAAATCATTTGCTGAACTACAGTTTGGTTCCTTGAACAACTGCATGTCTTTTCTAAATCATTTTAAAAGTGCAATAAATAGCATTGTTGAAATATGTCATCTATCTATGTCTATTTCTATGCATAAAAACTGGAAGGATGTTGATGTATGACTCCAATGCACTGCCTACTAATTCTGATGTTTTAACAAAAGTGAATCAGCTTGGATTCAGTTTGTGTAAAGCTCCGTGAGCCCAGGCTAAAATCCGCAAATGCCAAACATAGCTGAGAATCCCAATGAAGTCTATGCAAGACCAATATTATTTTTTTTCTGGACTTTTTGAAGACCAGTTGGCAGGCTTTTGTTAAAAAGCACTGTAATGGAGGACAGCATTTTAAAAAATAGTGTTCAGTGGGGAGAAGGTATTTTATTGTAGTTTAAAGGGCAACATTACCTGTACAATTCACAAAACCTTTAAATACCATGTTTGTGCGATGTTGTAAAATCTGCAAGTGAAGTTGCACATCAGTATGATGTACTTCTTTAAAAGTGAAATTTAAAAGAATAAAGAAACCAGTGCCCCTGAATAACTAACCCCTTCTGGCTTTATTCAGATTGTAAAAAAAGCAGCCAGGGGATCCTGGGTGACACAATTTACCAAATATAGTCATGATCAGATTTGGTCAATGATATCTCTCAAGTTCTTTAGTGCTGTTGTTTATATTCCAACAGTGCTGGTGACCTGCCATTTAGGACAAAAGTAGTCATGAGGTAGTAGCAGTGGGGCACAATCGCCATGGTGGAAGGTCATCATATCAATAGTTCAGAGGACATCCCTTATTATGATTGACACTGGATCTACATCACTAGACAATGTTATTGACATTGAATTAATATAGTGGGACATTTATTTATGAGGGGGATTTTGTTGCTACTACAATCGCAAATTACAGTTCCTCAGCACTGCTGGAATGTAAGCATAACAACAGGCATGTCAGTGATTTCATTGACCAAATATGGTCATGATCACATTTGGTCAATGATGATTGCCCAGTGATGTTGCTTATATTCCAGCAGTGCCGGGTACCTATCATTCGGGACAAAAATGGCCATGGGGCAGTAGCGGTGGGTCAGAATTACTGTAGTGGCAAGTCATCGTGCTGGCAATTCAGTAGGTGTCCCTTAACATGATTGACACTGAATCTACATCACTAGAAGACAATATTGACACTGAATTAACATTGTGGGGCATTTATTTATGGGAGGGAGATAGTTTTTGCTACTCCCACAACAAATTACTGTTCCTCAACACTTCTAGAATGTAAACACAGCAACAATAGAGATCCCGGTGATTTCACTGACCAGATTTGGTCAATGATGTCACCCAGGATCCCTGGTACTGATGTATATATTCCAGCAGTTATGGAGATCTGTCACATCATATAGAATTATGCTACCACTACTATATTGCAGATTTCTGGTTGATGTTTGCAGACAGCCAGAGGTTGGGGGGAAGGCAATGTAGCCAAATATATTCAGTTTGTTCATCTGTTCACAGATCTGTAAACCGGCTGGTTTCGGGTGGAAATCATGATCAACCTGAACCTGAAGCTCATGCCTATTCAGCACTTATTGTTACATTTATCACAACTATCTTGCTGCTCAGATACTTGCTGTCACCCAGGCAAAGTTACCAACAAACATCAACTATAACTCCATACACAATTGCTTATAGTTGCATACTCAATTACACCCAGGGATGTGGTGATTAGAAGAGATATGTGGTGTGGTGTGGTGTGTCACATGCTCCTCCATACTTGTAAAGGGATTTTTATAGAGTGATGGCAGGGACCAGTACTGTAAGGAAGCTATGGAAAAAGTAAATATATATACAGTATATCCTTCTGAAAATACTGAGAACAAGGCTGCTATAACATTAACACATGTTGATAATATTATTTACATCAAACTGATATATTTTCCATGTTCTGTACTGCATGTTGAAAAGACTCTACATTCCCTTTAAATGTGATGTGCCTTAAAGGAGGCTTTTCCCCATAGTTCTCCTTAGGGTAACGTGAGGACACAAACTAGCGTCCTCCCGTTACCCTAAGATCAGTATACCGCGAGCTACAGCTCGCGGTATACTGAGACGCCGCAGCCGGAGCGGATCCCGACATCGATGTCGAGATCCGCCCAGCTGCGTGAGTGACAGCTGGCTCTGCCTATCTAGAGGCAGAGCCAGCTGTACCCGCCCCCTCCCCCGTCCGATCCGCCAGTCAGCGCTGGCGGATCAGAGCGGGGAGGGGGGAATCCAGCCCCTCCCCTGTCACGGTAGAGAGAGCCGTGACAGGGTCGAGAGGTGAGCGAACGCCGGTATATGTTCGCTCACCTCCCGATCTACTGATCCGACCTGTGACAGTCTCATTGTCACAGGTCGGCTAGAACTATGAGGTGAGTGAAAAGCACTCACCTCATAGTTCTCCTTTAATGTCTCTCCTGCAATGATAACTGAACACATGTGAGAGAAATTTAAAAAACTGTATTTTTTTAATCACTTGTACATAATTAGATGATTGAAGTGTTCAACTTATTTACAAACCTATGGGGACATTCACGTTACCAAGTAAACATTAACATTGCTAAGTGAGCAGTTTCTAATACCTTTAGTAAATATATCCTGATATCACCTCATATTAAATATGAATCTGGTAAAAAAAACCTGAAGATCTAATTACATGATGTGGCTCACTACTAAGTTGTCAGCTGCTTCAAGGACCTTCCTGCCTTTCAGAGCCCTCATTAATTCTTCATCTCCAAACTTTTACTGCTCAATATCCACTGCAAGATAACCAGCACACCCTTAATAATCTGGTTATGTACTGTGTGCAAGGTTTCACAATGTATGGTTGCTGAGGAGGCAAATATCATGCTGGTAACGATGCATAAAAAATAACCCCAGCATGAGCTGATACATCTAGCAAGGTACATGAGTCTTTATGGAAAATACTCATGTTACTCATGTTTACCGTTAGTCAACTGTTCATAGATTAAAAATATATTAAACATTTTACAAAATATTTATCTTTCTCTTTAGCAAACAAAATGGTTTACACAATATTGTAGGTGTTGGAAAAAAAGAGTAGTGAAACCATGACACAAATTGAGAGAACATTGAGAACTGCATGCCTATGTAATTTACCTTTCCACCTTCACAGAGGAACAATTAGACAGGCTATAACTTAATCAGCGGTTTGTTTCATTACAATGGGAAATGTGATCACAACTAAATCTAATGCCCGGAACAGAAAACCAAAAGGGTATAATTAAAAAAAACAACTCAATGAAAACAAAATAAATATAGAAGAAAAGCTTTATAGCTTTTGAAAGACAGATTCACGCACATCTCTCTTTTCCTTTCTTACAGAAAAAAATGTGAAGAAGACTATGGCTTCCTTCTTGACTAAGTTAGCACCCAGTTGCCATTGCTCTCCCTTCCTGTGTTTACTTGTCCAGGGCATGGATGGTCCGCCTAGATAAAAATAAAACATGTATAAATGAAAACAAAATGAACATAATCTAACAAAATAAAATAGCAAAACCTACCACCACCATGTTTAGAATTTCTGGCTCTCACCTTTGGCATGACTGACAATTTTATTTTAATACAGGACATTGCTTCAATTTAATGGCAGCCATGGTGACAGGGGTAAAGAAAATGTGATTCTTTGGTGCAAAATACTTTACCGAACAATGTGGTGACCTTTAGAAAACAATGGGCAACAAGTGTATACTCTTCTGCCCCATGATAAAAAATGGCCTTAGCAAAAACCTGATTAGGTGAAAGGTGGCCATAAGATTATTCACATACAGGGTTATTCAGAAAAGGGTGAAGCGTTTGGAGAGGGCGGGAGAAGTGAACAATCTAAGACAAAATAACTGATTTGGAAAAATTCTACAATTGAGCTCACTTTCCAGTTCAGCTATGTTGTCCTAGATTGCTCCCTTCTCCTGTCTTCTCCAAACTCTTCACCCTTTTGTGAATAACCCTGTTAATTTTTTTGCTTCGGCCTCCCATTCCGCCTGCCACAGCATTGCCTCTTTCCACTTGCTCCTCATATTTCAATGTAGTCAGCAATTATGTGGTTTACGTTCAGTCTTTGAATGCTGCCTGCTGCTGGGCCTGGTTTCTGTAGTGTAAAAAATGCTTCTTTCAGGGATCACAGAATTGGAAGCTTGCTGGACATCAAGGAATTTCCTGCCACCACCAAGAAATGTGGCAAAGAGGTTGTGCCCAGCACGTTCTCACAGTGTCATATTTTGGCCTGCATCTGGAATAATGACAGTAGATTTCCTGATATTATCCTTGCATTGGGGAAACATTCCCCCTGAAGCCGCCCCCAATTTCTTCCTCACCGTGAGCTCCCCAACCCTCTTCCCCACCATCAGAACCCCAACCCTTCTTCTTTAAAGCCAGCTTCCCAACCCTTCTCTTTACCGACAGCACCTTAACCCTCCTCCTCCTTGTATTCCTCTTCTGCCTCATGGCATATCACATGCTGGTGGCAGACAGGGATGGCCTTCTTTGCAAAACAATGATGGCTGAGTACCTGAGCCTGTGGTGTAGCACAGGTCACAGACTCGTGGATGTTTTGCTAACTGCAAATAATAGACTGGGCATGGAGGTGATTTTGGGACATTTTTTTTCCATTCCAGCAACAGATGCATTAGAAAAGGTCCTATTAAGAACCCTGCAGAGGTCTGGGACTAGTCCTGGAGTTAGCAATGAGAAAATATTTACCACCAGTTGGTGGGAGTATGGCAGGATTAACAGAAGAAGACTAGGAAGAAAAGGGTGCATGATCAGCACTGGAAAGAAAAGTAGGTGCTCTGCGGCCTTGAAAAGGGGAGAAGGAAAAGGGCACATGAGCAGCACTAGAAATTAATATGGCTGCTTTGCACCCATGAGAGTAGGTAAAGGGTGCATGAGTGGCACTAGAAAAGAAACTGCTCTGCACCCCGGAGGAATACTTGTTACATTCCAACTTAAAGTATCCAAACATGATGATCTGCATGATACCCAGGCCAAGTAGCATTTTCAGAAGGAAGTTCCTCAATGGGGGCCATCATTCATCTCTTATGACAAGTTTCCTTATACATATACAGTACAAGAGCTGTTTTCCCTGCTAAATTATTTGTATTTTTGCCTATCCAGTTCAGAGATTAACATGACTCTACAGCACAGTCCTGACAGGCATACAGGTTTTTTCCTTCCCCCAGCTAGTGACTGGGCATGAAAATAGAATCAGCAGACTGATGAGCTCATCTCTCTTTTATTCTGCTCTCTCCTCCCATTCCATCCTACCCTGTGTTCTTGTTAGCACTTGAGCACTGTAGCACAACTAACTTGATTCATGTGCTGCTTCTCCATCTTCCAGTCTAAGCTCTGCAAGAGGCAAAAGTAGTATTTTTTTAGCAAGCAGTAGATATATGCAAAAACATTTTTTAAAAATTAAAAAGTTACCAAACAAGTTAAAACGTACCTTTGTCTCCCCTGCTCACTCCCAGCTGTAGATCTGTATCTTCTTGAGTGGAGGATGAGTGCGGGTGCATGCGCAGTAGAGTTCACCGGCAGGGAAAAGAGGAGAGACTCACTGTAAGTCAATGCACACAGCCATGAGCGTGCACGTCGGACAGACACTGTGGGACATGAGGAGTCTGCATTGTATCTGAGACCGGCACCAGCGCTGGCGGGATTGCTGAAGGGAAGTCCTTAAAGCAGATTTTTTTGGGGGGAGGGGGGGGGAGAATTGTGACTTTAATAAGTGTTTTTTATTTCTGTTTAAGAGAAACAAAAACCTGATTCTTAGACCACAATTGACTGCAACCTTCTTGAAGGCCTGGTATGGCAACACACTGTGCACGGTATTTAGAGCAAGCTGATGAGTTTATATAAATGTTTTTTCAGGATAAATCCTGGGCCTTTCACACAAGTGTCCAAGGTTGGATATTACTGGATGGTAACGGGATAGTATTACTGAATGCTTAAACAAACAAAGAACCAATAAAAGTCAGTGACAGTACCCTATCACTATACAACAAGTTATCTCAAGTAAACATCCTGTGTATAAATCCTGAAAGGTATTGCAGATATATCCAAGGTCAATGTAAATGAATACAGATTTCAGGAATGGCAGTTGTGCTGTAACACATACTGGCCAATACAGTAGTCAGTCTAAGGGGCAGAATTAAAACAGTTCTTATGCTTTTTAGCACCATCTAGTGGCAATAGTGTAGTGCAAACAGCACTCACTCAGATTTACATTGGGTGGAATATTTATAAATCAGCGCCATATCCCTCGGTATCCTCATGTCTAATAAACCTGCAGTGCATGTGAGGATGTCATGGGTCTTTAGGTCGCTGCAGCCTAGCAGAGAAGAGGTGGCAGGGACCGGTATAGCAGTCAGGTGGGACTGAGGATCAGGTGAGTATTTCTTCTATATTTTCGCCCCCTCAAAATGAGCAGTTAACCATTTCAATGCATGGGTAGCCACACTGCAAGGGCTAATTTTGTAAAGTTCTTCTTTGAATAATATTGTTGTACTGGTAGACTCCAGACTTTTTGAGGAATTGATATACCACAAAGCTTCACATTTTGAATGTCTATTATATCTGCCTGGAGTACAGTTTTTTAAAAAAAAACATTATTCCCAAACCTGATTGAATGTTTAATGAGACGAGTAACTCCCTGGTCCAACAGTAAAACCTTCAGTTCATTTTTAAATGTCTTATTTAGTGTAAAACATACCTTGCTATCTAAAATCCTGCTAAACATAGTAATAAAACAATATTGTGTATTTTCATGTGTCTGTGTTACATTGTCTGTATGTTTGTGTGCATGTGTTTGTATGTTTTCTGTTCAGAATTACATTTATTTGTATTGAAAGAAAAAAGACTCTACATAGAAAACAAATTAGGCAGTCAACACTTCAAATTACCCATTAATTGCACGTTAAAGACAGAATTGAACTTTCTATCAACACTGACATGTTGATTCACCCTTTGAATAAAATAAATCAATATAGGTAAACTTGCCTGAACCCAAACAAGAAAATAGTAGCTGTGTCTGGAAAGCCATAAGGTATCCCACACTGATATGTTTCTTTTTTATTTGACTTAGCCCTTAAAGCTGAAATATTATAAATTACAAATGTGGAATATTTTTAGATGTGTGTTATATTGTGATGTTCCTTGTCAGATTGCAGCAGGAGCTAAAGAAGTGTCTGTGTTTGGTGCAGCATCTGAGACATTTACTAAGAAGAACATAAACTGTTCCATTGAAGAAAGTTTGTCAAGGTTTGACGGCGTCATAAAATCCGCATACGGAATGAACATTCCTGTGCGTGGGTATGTATTTATTTATTTAATATTTTACGGAGTTCACTTCTTCAAGGTGATCCTACCACCATGGGGACAAAAGTAAACTAATGCCAGCCTGTAAAACAAGATGCTGGATGCTTACCTTTCCAACAGCCTGAATGTTAAAACTCTGCTCTGTTGCTGATCCCCAACCATCGAAGGAATCTAACCCCTGGTATTTGGAATGTGTTGTATACTTGCTCCCATAGGATTTGTCCCTCTAGCCTGTGCATTCCGCTATAATGTAGTAGGAAGAACAGTGCATTGCAGAGTTTAAATACATTGGCTGCCAAGGTAAATACAGGTAGCTGTCGATTGCACTGTTTCAAAATAACACCCTTTTCAAGCGGTCACGTGACCGCCATCTAAACCACTGTAGAGTCAGTGCCATATAGCATTTCCTTCCTTTGCAGACCTCAGCTGTGAAAGGATATGCAGGGGACTTCTCTACAACTCCACATGGCTACAGGATAGAAGTCTCCCGCAGCTAGATCAGGGCACAGGTGGTAAATCATGGTTTGGGAAAGGGATCTTGTGAGTGAGCTAACTGGACACTTTTAAGGTGCCCATACACCTTACGATTATCGGACGATTTTCGTATGCGATCGACTTTTCGTGCGATAATCGTATGTGTGCATAGCAGTGCCCTACCGACATTACTGTACAATCGTACGACTTTTGACGGTCAAGCATGTTTGAAAACTTTGCTAGATGGTACGATTTTCGTAAGGTTGCTGGCGTTTCCGTCCGTCAAAAGTCGTACAATCTACACTGCGCTTGCGCTAACGAAAATACGGCAAATCAATTACCGCATTTCATCCAGGTGCTTTTCATTAATTACAGCTAAATTAATCTTGCGATCATCGGGGCAGGATGGGGCTGCCGTACGAAAATTGTACGACTATTCGATCATCGGACGCAAAGTTTCGTCCGATAATCGCAAGGTGTATGGGCACCTTTACAGACTAAAAGTGCCCATACACCTTACGACCATCGCAAGCTCGTACGATCTGCCCATGGCACAGGGATACACATGGAGATACTGTGCACAGGCACATAGAGACATGCTGGGGGCACAGGGGTACACTTGGAGCTACAGAAAAGCAATTTCGTATGCGATCGACTTTTCGTGCGATAATCGTATGTGTGCATAGCAGTGCCCTACCGACATTACTGTACAATCGTACGACTTTTGACGGTCAAGCATGTTTGAAAACTTTGCTAGATGGTACGATTTTCGTAAGGTTGCTGGCGTTTCCGTCCGTCAAAAGTCGTACAATCTACACTGCGCTTGCGCTAACGAAAATACGGCAAATCAATTACCGCATTTCATCCAGGTGCTTTTCATTAATTACAGCTAAATTAATCTTGCGATCATCGGGGCAGGATGGGGCTGCCGTACGAAAATTGTACGACTATTCGATCATCGGACGCAAAGTTTCGTCCGATAATCGCAAGGTGTATGGGCACCTTTACAGACTAAAAGTGCCCATACACCTTACGACCATCGCAAGCTCGTACGATCTGCCCATGGCACAGGGATACACATGGAGATACTGTGCACAGGCACATAGAGACATGCTGGGGGCACAGGGGTACACTTGGAGCTACAGAAAAGCACAGGGATACACTTGGAGATACAGATCAGCACAGAGGTACATTTGGAGATACAGAGGAGAACAGGGGTACACTTGGAGATATGGAGGCACACAGAAGTTCTTTTGGAGATATGGAGGTGCATAGAGCCATGCTAGGGGCACTGAGTACTGTGAACGCAGAGGCCCTTCAGCTTTTTTTGTTAAAAAAATGCACTTTATCCCACTGTTGTCAGTGCAGAGGCCCCTCAGCTTTGTTTGCATTGACAACTGTGGAATAAACTGCATTTTTCTGTAGAGGCTCTACAACTTTGTTTGTAGAACATGCAGTTTATTCAACTGTTGTCAGTGAAGAGGCCGTACAGTTTTACAGGTTAAAAAAAAATATTGTTTTGTTTATTAAACTTAGTTTGAAGACACATACTGTACTGTGTGGTTATTTTATACTGCATATAATACTGTTTAGCATTCATAACATTAATTTCAAAGCTGTAAATATAATGTATTATGTAACTTATGTCATTTTTCAAAGAGGCCTGGATCCTAGCCCGCCCATTTTCCATTGACTTACATTATATACTGGGTTTCAATTTACATTGGTTTCTATTTGCAACCATTCCTTCAGGAACCTAATCCTGGCATAAATAGAGAGCATTCTGTATATGACATCATGTTTTACAAGCTGGCTTTAGTTTAGTTTAGAACTCCATAGTGACAGGATCACTTAAAGATGTTATACACAGTAGGCACCTGGAGGTACCTCCAGGGCCGGATTCCCGACAAGGCCACCGAGGCCCGGCCTCGGGGCGGCACGGAACAGAGGGGCAGCACAGGTTTGAAGTCTCCCGATGCCCGGAACATGGAGTTCCGGGCGACGGGCGGTAACTTCCTTTCTACATTTAGCCCTTCTTTGCACAAACAGGGCTAAATGTACAGCGGGGAAAATGACTTGTTTCTTTACAACCTCTCTTCTGCTGGCTCCGTCCTGCCACCTCCGTTTCCCGGCTCCGTCCTCTCCTCGCTGGCCGCCGACGTCTTCAGGATGGAGAGCGGTGAAAGGAGCAGCAGGGTTACAAGTAACCCTGCCACTCCTTGTAAACAGTGAGAGGAAAGAGCTGTCTTCCCCTCTCACCTGTCACAGGAGTTCCAGCACAGTGCTGTGCTGGAACTCCTGTATTGGAAGTGACAGGGTTAATAAAGAGAACCTGTCACCTCCAAATGCTATCACACAGGGGATTGTTAGTTCCTGTGTGGTAGCAATAAATTTAAGTGAAAAAAGTTACATAAATAAAAGTAAAAGTTACATAAATAAAAATTTTAAAAATAAGTAAAAAATAATAAGTAATAATCAATAAATTAAAAAATAAAACTAGAGGGATCCCCAGCAGGAGGAAGGAGGTCCTGATCCCTCTATATAGATCTTTATTATCACTAGAGGGGTCCCCAGCAGGAGGTCCTGATTCCTCTATATAATTCAACTTTGCCTGTATTGGCAAAAATCCTAGCACCGGCCCTGATTGTAGTCACACATTGTTCTCAGAAAGTAGCACAGTGAGTTTTTTTTTCACTACTCCCTCACAGCAAAATTGATTAAAAAAAATAAATAAAAATGTAAAAAGCAATAAGAAATAATAATTCAAATAATTAAAAATTAATAAAAAGTAAAAAAAAATAATAAGAAAAAATATTAAACATAATAGGAAAATAATTATAAATAAAAAATAAGATAAAAAATAAAAAAGGAAAAGATGACAAAATAAATATAAATTTAAAGAAGTAAGAAAATAAATTAAAAAGTTTAAAAAAAGAGAAAGAAACAATAAAAAAATTCAAGCCACCCCCGGGGAGGGGGCGCATTGCGGAACCTGGACTTGGGGCAGCAGGGAGAGTAAATCCAGCCCTGGGTACCTCCATAAAGAGTCACTTATTTTTTGGAGCACCCCAAGAGCCCTGGGCGCACTGTTTTCCAGATTGTTAACAGCTTCTCTGGTTGACAACTTCTGCTCAGCCTGGCACCATAACTAAAATGTGCAGCATCACTGAGACAAATTGAGGCATGGAAAGTAAGAAGAGACAACCTTAAGAGCTGGTTGATACTTTCATAATAGAGCACCCTGGCTTTCAAGGCTCCTGGGGCTCTAAAATGTAAATGAGCCTTTAAACATGCTGAATATGTCTTGTAAGAAAAAAATATATATATTTTAGTATTGAAAAGTATTGTGGAACATTTCAGGCAGGTGAAGGTGACCTTGCCAGCATTCATTTTTGATTGAAAGGAATTGAATTAAAAATAAATCAAATACAATTTCCACTCTCTTTATTTAGTTACCTGAGGCATCTTTCACACAAGAAGCATTGTATTCCATTGTAGTGCACTTTTCAATGCATGGATATGACATATGAGAGGTCCAGTCACATCAATACTTTGGGTTTGAGTTACTAAACGCAATCAGGCTTTCCACTTTGCAAAGGAATTTGTACTTTGCAAGGGGAGTATGTACTTTTTCATAATTCTCATATGGCTTTATTATCTAATAGCAACTAATTTAAATCATCATTGTGTAATCTGGAATTTCACTTTTAGCAAAACTCTAAAATCAGCTGCATTCATAATCTAGGGAAACAAGCTCCAGTGAGTTACATACTGTAGTTAAAATTAAAGGTTTATTGACATAAAAGTACAGTACACTATGGCAATTTTGTGCTATTAAGAATATACTGTTCATTCTATAAAGACACTTATTGCATTCTATAGGCATTAGAGTGACACCTACAGGAAGGCTGACATCAATACGCATGCAAGCCTAAAGTTAGTTATTGATACATTTGTCTTTGCTTAATATTTGAAGTTATTATTGTTCTGTTTGTCATATTTGCGGTACTTTTCTTCTGTTTTTCACAATTACACACACACAAACATTTACATAATATGCATTTGATTCTTCAACTGTAGTTTTAGCCACTTTATCCATTTTATAATGCACATGGCATGTGTCTCATAACTCACACTTTCAAGCTCCTGCTCCATCTGTGCAACTATTAGGGATAAAGGGCTGTTTACACTTTCTGGAGCAAGTCCAGGTCTTTAATCTGCTAGCTCTCTACTGTAAACAATAAGTTGCTAACACATTTTATCCATGTGGTCCATCTGCTCTTTTATACTGTCCTTGATTTTGCTAAAAACATAGAAAAGAAAAAGGAGTAATTTATGTGAAATGTTTATAAAACATATTCTGAAAACACATGTCTATTATTTCACCATGCATACTGTAATTTCATTATATGAGCACATTGACCATATTTATAGCTTCAAACTTACGCAATGACTAGGGTTTCTAGAGTTTCAGTCTTGTCATAATTAGGGATGAGGTACAGGTTCGGGTCTACCATGGGTTTGAGGTACATCCAGCCTGGCATAATGCCTTGTAACATTAATGAACTGCCAGATACTTTGGTCAGCTGGCTTAGAAGGGCCACCAATGGGTGCTTTGTTATGTGCCAGTCCCATCACTTTAAAAGGACGGGCACAGAGCAGCCATAATGCCAGTGTATCAAAAATAATTGCAGGGAAACGATGGGGAGAGCTAACAGACTGCACAGGGAAATAATAGGGTCAGTTCTTGGGGCAATCAACCCCTTTGTTGCCCTTTTTTTAGCCTCACTGCAAGGGTTAATTTTAATAAGTCCTGGAGTTCTTGTTTTAAGTTTTTACAAATGTATCAAAAAAAAGAACAAACCAAATTTACCAATCAGATGAAACAATTATGAGGATTAAAAGAAAGTGTACCACTGCAAAATAGCTCTTCTCAAACCTTGAAAAATAATAATAATTATTATACAGGATTTATATAGCGCCAACAGTTTGGGCAGCACTTTAAAGAATATTCTGGGTCTAGTGCTGGAGACAAGGGTGGTAGGCACCAGCAGCCAGATGGGATCTTTTTCTTAAATGGGACATATATTAACAATATTGTAGCAGTGTTGGTTTTGTTGATTTATATTGTCATATTGCATATTTCATTTTTTTTGTAGCATTTATTTTGGAAATAAACCTCTAGCAAGAAACAGGTGATGAGTTAAAGTATAAAACATATAGCACACATGCTCAGATAGCAGATAGCATTAACATTACAAAGCTGATGAATAATTTCATATAGATAATAAATGTGTTATACAGTGCCGCCTTTTGGAAGTAGAAAGGCTCTTGGAAAAGATTCAGTGTACTATCCAGATGTCAATAATAAACAACATTTCAACCAGAAACAGAAAACTAAATGGAAACATTGTAATGAGCCAAAATACTTGACATCAAACGTCATATGAAGACCTGCAACAGATTTCAATTGTGGAACACCATGCTTGTCAACAGTGCCTACCAAGCTTCCTGATTATGCAAACAAATATTCATTAATATTCATGGAGCCATATGGGCCATCAAGCTTATGAAGCCACTCTAGGATTTGGCAGCTAAATAGTGCATATTTCTATTTACAGATATGTGTCTTGTGCATTAGGCTGTCCTTACGAAGGAAGTACTGAAGCTCGTAAAGTGGCAGAGGTAAGAAACCTTTTTTGCTGTTATTTGTTTTCTTTAGTGGGATTTTTGTTGGCAGTTACATGTGTTTCTCATTTTATGGTAAAATTCACACAAGAATCTTTCAGAAAAATTAAATTTCTACTTTAATTAAAATATTTTGATCTCTTCAAAAGCAACCAAAGAATTCAGATAATTACATAACCTGTCTCATTTATCTAGTGTTAATTTTCTTGTGTCTGTGGTCTTCTTTACATCTACCATACGTTACATTTTTTTCTTTAGTTGTGCCCCTCGGCACTGCTAGTTCAAAGAATAACTAGATGACCTGAAAATTAAGGCACAGGTAATTAGGACTTCGGCATAAAAATCTAGGCAAGGTATTTTGCTCAAAGCATTTTTTGGAACTTAGTTTAAAGTTATAAACCAAAAAGAACAGTGATATCTGATATCTTCATAGTAAACTTTGTTGAGTATGTCTGCCATATTGAAGTTTCCTGTTAGCTTATACCTCATGATAAACAGTAAATTACCGCTTACTTTGTTCAAATAAAATTGTTAATAAGTCTACATATACGTTGTATGTTACTTAGGTATCAAAACGATTGCACAGCATGGGCTGCTATGAGATTTCACTTGGAGACACTATTGGTGTTGGAACACCAGGCAGCATGAAGAAAATGCTCGAAGCTGTGATAAAAGAGATTCCAGTTCATGCACTTGCTGTCCACTGTCACGACACCTATGGCCAAGCTCTCGCTAATATTCTTACCGCATTACAGGTAAAGCATTTAAAGTGATATTAAACCTTCATTTTTTGATTCAATTATTAACAGGGCCAGACTTAATTGAAATGTGTTTTGATTCTTTTTAAAACCTTTTTGTTTCCTTGTTCTCTAGTTGTTCCCAAACCGCTAGCCCCCCTCCCATGTGTGTGCGTTCCCACAGCTAGCTGGGCATCCATAGACACACACAAGCCTTGTCCCACACTCCCACAGTCACACTTTGACTGCGGGCAGAACTCACAGAAACTCTCACAGTTTAAAAACTATGTTAACGGGTATAATGTGCAGGCACCTAGATGTGTGGTGGTGGTGTAAAAAAGCAAACACCCCTGCAATTAAGTTAAAATGTCCTTTAGAGTTTACTTTTGTTTGGGTGATAAATCTATGATCTTTTTTTTTTAATGGTATTAATTGCTCTTTTATGAGCCAACTAACATTTTTGTTGAAAAATTGGGCATGTCATGCATTTCATAAATAGCAGGATGCTGCTTGTATACCATCAAGTTTTTTTCTATTTGTAGTTAAAAATGCTGAACCCTGGCTCATGCTACGGTTTTCACATGACAGCAAAACTGTTTTGTTTTTTTGTCATTTAACCGGTTTGCTATTCATATCCTATATAGGTCTTTGTAAATCCAATCTGCTTTAGTTGCAGAGATATCTTTTTAACATGACCTTTGGAGTTAATATAGTGTTGAAGAAGTAAGGTCTATTAAAAAGTGGACCCAGGAGCTTATAGCCATAATGTGCTAGTATACACAGCAGGGGTGTAACTAGAAATCACAGGGCCCATTAGAAAAATTTTGTATGGGGCCCCACAAACTGCCCCCAACCCCCCTTCCCCCACAACCTAATCACAACTGACCACCTCATTCTCTTTAGCTCTGCTGGCTCTGACATCAGAGCTGAAGAGATCACTTCGCCTTTGCTTTGCTACACTGCAGCTGCCTGGCAGGCAGGGCCAGATTAAGAACATCAGGGGCCTGGTGTTGAGGATTTTGGTGGACCTTTTTATGAAAATGTAAGCGGTCACTGGGGCCTTCTTCCTTTTGTCCAGGCTGTGATTTGTAGTCTCTACATCTTGGAGTCAGTGGTGGAGCGCCAGTGCCCAAGTGCAGCTATGACCCTGGTTGTTCTGCTGCTGACTCCAAGCTGTAGAGGGACTACAAATCTCAGCAATACAATATACAGCAATGCAGAATAATATCACCAACTATAGAAGACTACAAATCCCAGCAATAAATTATACAGCAATGCAGAATACAGCTAACTATAGAGGACAACACATCTCTGCAATACATTACACAGGAATGCAGAATAATACCGTCAGCCATAGAGGATTACAAATAACAGCAATACATTATACAGTAATGCAGAATAATATGAAGCTACATGCTCTGTGTTGCTCCTGGTTTGTGGCCACATGTCTTCAGGATCTCAGATGGCCAGTGCGGGCTCTCAGATGGCCAGTGCGGGCTCTCAGGTGGCCAGTGCGGGCTCTCAGGTGGCCAGTGCGGGCTCTCAGGTGGCCAGTGCGGGCTCTCAGATTGCAATTGGTCAGTGCGGACTCTCGGGTGGTCAATGGGGCTTCAAGGTGGTCAGTGTGGGTTCTCACAAGTGGTCCGCAGAGTTGCACTGGTGGCTGTGGGTGCAGCAGATGTGGCTCTCTATTCAGGCGACTGATTGTTCCTCACTAGGGCCCCAAGTGGCCCCAGTGATCTGCCTACTTATATGCCTGAATAGAGGGCCGCCTCTGCCTTAGTGCGGCCGGTCCGGATTGCCATCGGGTATATCGAGGTGATCTGGGCTGGTCGGGCCTATTTGTGCCTCAGCCTATGGCGGTAGTTGCACAACTGGACTCTGTAATGCACTGGACTCTGGAACACATTAGTCCCATTAGTCTCTACAATGCATTGGACTCTGGCACGCACTGGACTCTGGAACGCACAGGACCCAGGACTCACTGAACCATGGACTCTACATTGTACTGGTCTCTGCAACACACTGGAACACCCTGGACTTTGAACTCTACAATGCACTGGACCCTGGACTCTGCAATGCACTGGACACTGGAATGCGATGGACCCTGGACTCTACATTGCACTGTACTCTGTAACACACTAGACTCTGGACTCTACAATGCACTGGACTCTGCAATGCACTGGAACACATTGGACCTTGAACTCTACAAAGCATTGGACCCTGGACTCTGCAATGCACTGGACCATGTAGAGCCCCCCCGCTATGCGCTTGCTTCCCCACTCTGTCCTGGACACTTAAAAGACAACCCAGCTCCTCCAGAGCATGCACTGTATGGGAGGCAGGAGGACGTGCATGGAAGGATGGCTTGCACTGCAGGCACAAAGGCTCTGGGGCCGTCACTGATTCAGTAGCAGCTGTGAGTCAGTAACAGCCCCGGAGCCTCTAATGTCATAGCGACTCAGGCGGCCTGCACTGCATCAAAGGGACTCGTTTTTTCCTTGTCCTGGCCGGGCCCCCCTGTGCCCCAGATATCATAGTGGCTGCCTGTGTCGCTGTGACAATAGATCTGCCACTGATACACAGCATGTTTGATCATTATGTCAGACTTACCTCCCAAATCGATCCCCACCGAGCTTCCATCTTCATCCCCATCTTCTTCCAGGTGTGAAGTCTAGACTGCGCATGTGTACAGAAACAAAAAAAGCGCTGGTAGGCAGGAAGTAGGATCTATAAACAGAAGAGACTTACACAGTCTCTTCTGTATTAATATGTCTGCCTGTCAGCACTCTTATAAAGGGAGAATTATTACAACACCTAATACGCCCTGGTCAATAGCGGTAGACGTACATGAAAATTAGATCATTTGGAATAGAAAATGACACTAAACCAAATAATCAAACGGATGAAAAAGGGGTAGCAATTACAGATGGGGAGTCTTTTTTTTTTAGTTGCAGCAAGAAGTCCAAGAATAACGAAAAAATGGGGGGAGGTAAAAGAAGAGAAAGAGGGTGTAGATGGGGCAAAAAAAGCCCAAAAGATGACTTTTAAATCATTCTAATCAAGTAAACAGTACTATAAAAACTCTCAAACTGTCTCGCTATGTGTTGAATGATATTGAGTTTGTCCTCTGGAAGGGATTGAGTTTTGCACCAACCTCATTTCCTTACCCGTGTCAGTTATTTTTAGACCTTAACAAATTTCTCAGGAAACTCACATTACATAGACACTTTATAATAAAAGATAGGAAGGCTAATGCTAATAGGTTCAATATGGATGTATCAATTACCTCTTCTGTCCACAATATTGAATCAATAACAATAGAGACTGTGTATACAACTGATAATCTAGCACTACAATGCTTGGAAGAACTATGGGATGGTAGACTCCCAGTGGAAGAATTGTGGATGGGTTTGGACCCGAAGGTAAGACATACACCATTATAGCCCAAACCCATTTTTTTCCACAGCAATCAAAGGGCCAGTTGCTATATTTTTTATATGCGCCATAAAATGCCAATCTAATTACAATCTTACCATACCTAAGAAACGAACCATGAAAAACTTACTAAAAATAAACATTTAGTCATAAAACAAGCAGACTCAGAGGAGTATTTAAAGTGACACTAATCTCAGGAGTTAAACTTTGAAAATACATTCAAACACCCTAACTATTACCAAAAATGTAGCTTTTTTTGTGCATCACTCACCTGTAGATCCTCAAATCATCTCTGAATAGGTGCTGACACTGTCCTTCCTCATGGTCGCTGTGTGTTGCTACTTTACAACATGCCCAGGGGCCATGGGGAGCAAAAGTAGCCACCCTCCAGAAGGAAGGACAGTGACAGCATGATTTTAGAGGTGATTTGAGGATCTACAGGTAGGGAGGGAGGAGTGGGGTGTCAATGTAAAACACATTCCCTTCAGCTCAATTCCCTCAGACTAGAAGCAGATGTTCAAATATGTAGGGTCTCCCTAGGAAAGGGAGGGGTAAAAAAGGCATCAATCCAAGGAGACCAGATAGCATCAAAATCAGCCATAGTGTCGTTCTATTGGGCAGCTGAAAAAATAATCACAAAGAAAGAGTTGGTTTCTTCCAGGATCTTGCAATTACACATTTACCTGTCGTGAAAATTTGCTGGAGCAATTTAAATTGAGTCTTGGTGACACCCACTGGTTTATGGTAAAGAAGTCTCACAAAAGGATCTCTATCTGGGGTAATACAGAGGGCCAAATGGATCTTACCATACATCTGAGACCAAAAACAACTCACAACTGGACAGTCCCACCACATGTGGTGATAAGTACCTTCAATAGAGCAGCCTCTGAAACAAGCAGATGGGTAATTAGCCACTGCTTTAGACATCCACATGGGAACCAAGTACCATCACAGAAGCAATTTATAATTGGTTTCCAATCCCGCTACAGTAGTAGAACTCCCTGCCATACAAAGCCAAATCTGGGACCAATCTTCCCCTGAGACAGTAACTCCTAGCTCCAATTCCCATTTTCCCACATAAAAAGGAGATGTTTGAGTGGAACAGGGAATTTCAGACGTAAAGTGTCCAAATAGTACTTAATTTGTAGACACTCCCAGCCAGGAGGTGGTAGCATTCACTCAGAACGGAGAAAGATAATACACCAGATGAAGAAAGTAGCTTGGGGATACGAAGCAAACAACAACCAATAATAACAAAACACATGTTATTATTTCGAAGCTGGGTAGAAATTCCTGGTTGTCGCACAAAGAAAGTAAGGGGAGGCATGCGAGAGGAGACCCCCTCAGTCAGTGGCGGACCTAATAACCAAAGGGCCCTCCAGCGATTTGCGATGACGATCGGCCCTGGAACAGCAGAGAAAGCGTTGGAATGCTTCACCTATTCCACTGCCGAAAAACTGGGCGAGATTACGTGAAAATGTGTGACCACGTCACTGGTCACACATTCTAACGTAGTCTCAAACTTTGATAGAACAGAGGCCTGTCTGTAATCATTTAATCAGAGAAACAGATTATAATAG